TTTTAAAAGGGTAAGTTCTTAATTTTTTATTTTTTTTTTTTTTTGGGGGGGGGGGGGGTATGTATAGAACATCATCAAAATTTTCAAAATCTTGTTTTTGGGCGTCAATTTAGCCACCACATGAACAAGATAATGATAAAATATGTACAATATGTGCCTTGATTTAACTCAAAAGAACAAAGATTTATGTTCTAATGGCTTTGGATTTGTCCAAAATTGACCACATCACTTGAACATCTTCATATCCACAAGCCATTACTTCACCTTGCAAATCTACTACATGTTTATCTTGGTCTGCAAATTAACACAAAACATTTGTTAAGAAACGATCAAACCAACCCGGAGCGGATCCAGAATTTGAAGTTTATAAAAAAAATTCTCGATTTTATCCCCTTTTGAGTAATTGAGTTCTAAATTAAAATGAATTTCTAAAGACAAATACAAGATTTAAACCAAAATTGTTGGATTATGTCAAATACGTACACCTACACCTCTTTCTCAATTTATAGCCCTTTTTTACAAAATGTTTAATTGATTCGAGCTAATAGCAATAAACTCGTTCTAGATCTGCCACTTGACCAAAAAACACTATACATGGAACTGTCTCTGCAAGACTCTCGACTTAAGTAACGCAAACACATAAACTCTATATTATACACAAATTGTACATACCTTCTTCTTGTGACTTCTTTTCTCTTGGTGAATCTCTTGGTGATTGTTGATTATTATTGAAAAAAGTTCTAGCTTTTCTAAATGGAGTGGTGATTGTTTTGACCCATTTAGTCATTTTTTTCCTTTTTGTTTTGATATAAAGAGTTGTTGTTGTTGCATCTAACTCTCCATTTTCTAAGAACAAAAAAGGGTTTATATATATAGAATGTAACATCTCACCTAGACTATAATATGTAACATTTAATTAAAGGGATATTGTGGGAGCCATAATACTACAGGCAAGATCCGTGAGATAAGCTTTATGTAGTCTCACATCTCTTTCTTTATGTTTCTTTAATCATCTGATAATCAAAATTCATTAATCTAATTAATATGAATTTATATCATGTAACTTTAATATGAGATAAAGCGCTTAATTAATATAAATTCATACCATATAACTTTAATAAAAGCGCTTAATACGAATATGTAAGAGTCAAATCGTATTATTTAACTATGTGATATTCAAAACTCATTAATTTGACTAATATTTATTCACAATCGTGTATAAAAGCTCAATACAAAAAAATCTTGATTCTTTTTTTTTTTTAAATTATATGATATTCGAAGTTTATTGAATAGACTAATTCATATTGTGTAAGATCAATATAAAATTAAATAAAATGTTCAATCCAAAAATTTTCGAGACATCTGAATAAGGATCGAGAATCGCAATCCGCCACTCCCGTGGTTGGTTTTTTTCTCTCTCTTGTTTTAATTATTATTATATTGTCTTATCTCTGCAGTTCCAAGTTTTGGTGCCGACTGCCTCATAACCACATGGCTACGGAACCCTTGCACGTGAACGCCTTCTATCTTCTTGAATGTGACGTTACAAGATCGATCGCACGTTATTTATCGTGTTTTTCTTTTATACGTCCTTAAAGAAAATGCTAATCAAGAGGATTAGGAAGAAATTATGAGACGAGAAATTGAATTCTCGTGAAAGTTCAGATAGTTAATCAGTTGAACTATTAAGATTATCTATTTATGTTTTAAATATAATTTCTCCTAAGGATAAAATAAAAAATTATCTTAAATATTTTTAATGATATGAATTTAGAAATTATAATAAATAATTTGAGACGAATAAAAGTAATAATTATGGGCTCGAAAATCGAAGGTGATGACAAGTAACGCCTAGCGTACAACTTGTGTGTACTTTGGTATTTTGACCTTTTCTATGAAATCATTCACATGGTGGTACCCTAGGTAAGGAACAAAGTTGATGGCTGTGAAGCTATAGAACCTAATAAGTATACTTCTATATTAACGTCAACTTAATACAATGTTAGAATGTAGGCGTCCAGCAGTGATCACAGGATCAGGTCCTCAGACAGAATAATAGTGTGAAAAATAAATAGCTCAAAGTAAATCACGCACAAGGACTTTACGTGGAAACTCCCTTGCTCAAGGGCGGTGAAAACCACGACCTGTATTACTGACAGGATTTCAACCCAAACTCTATTTCACTCAAACGGAGCAAAGTTTCAGATTACAAACTCTTGCAACCTAGGAATTAAAACTCTTTAATCCCTTCTCCCTTACAGTAGCAACTCTACTACAAAGGAAACTAAGCAATAATCATATTGCCCACTAAATCAACTCACTCTAGTTGATCTAGACTTTAAGAACCCACCAAGACTAACTCTAGCCACCAACTCAGATCTCGAAGATGAGATCTAAACAAGCAGCAACTCTGTTGCACCCAAACATCAACTAATTACTCTAGTTGACACTCCTAGATAACTCTATCCAAAAGAACATCAAAACAATGATGTAAAAAGGCTTGACGAGAACATAGATGATTCGACTAACTAACTCTTGTTAATACGACTCAAACTAAAGACTTAGACAAGCAACCGATCTACTATCATTTATAACTTAAAAGTAGATTTACAATATGAGCACATAAGACACAACGCTCAAAATATAACAAAGACGGTTCAGCATTCTTGAATATTATTTTGTAAGATTTACTATTTGTAAGATCAAGTTAGGTAGATGTTGACCTAGGTAGAGTGATTTGTAGGTCCAATTGATCTGAAAGTGAAATTCGAGATTCAAGAATATATATAATATAAAAGAAACTCTCTTAATTATTATTTTGTTATTTAGCCTTATATATTATAACATTTAAGTGATATTATAAGAGATTTTTGTTGAGAAATCGTATTATAATATCGGAATTATAAAAATAGGGACTAAATGAGGGGATTTTTACATGATTCTCTTTCACTTTTACTCTTTTGAAAACTCAAATTCATAATATTAATTTTAAAGATAATTAAAAGTGCTTAATTATCATTCAAATAACTCCCTTTTATCCTCTAAATTTTTTGAATGTTTGGGTATGTTTCTTTTTTCTTTTTCTTTCTAGTGGTAGCTACCCCCACTTTGTGCTCATGTATAACAATTTCTTTAATTGATAATAATACTGAATAATTAAAGTGAGTTGAATAATATCAGATTAACATGTTCATAATCAAGATATAAGATAAAGATTATTTTGTTAAGCCATACGACTTACGAGTACCCATAAATAGAATAAATTCAAATTTGTGGAAATAGAAAAAAAAATTCGAAATAGAAGAAATTTTTCAAGCCCATAAATTAAATTACTTCTGTGTACGTCCTTAAGAGATAATAACTTCCTCACTATTGTTAAGAAATCAAGTTACTTTTTCTCGAGATAGAACAAATAAATTATGTTTGAATAATTTTTTGATTTTTCTATTTATCTGAAATTAATTATTACACAAACAAAATCTATTTTAATTATTGATCCTACCAATTATATAACAACTGCGTGCATTCTGAGTTGTAGAATTTCCATAACGAATATATTAATTGTTCCAAGAGAATCTTAGACATACAAAATTACATAAATATTAATGTTGGTTAAATTCAACTAACTTTTTAGTTGAATGAATCTAATCGTAATTTTGTTGGTGGTAAAATTTCCATAAATATAAAATAAAATAAAATAAAAAATTTGAGTGGCACATGTTGAACTTGTATAAAAAATCACGTTATTTTCTGAGAGGAGCCATGTTATTGATACCTTGTGTTTGTCCCCTCTAATTTATAAATTATTTTTGGGGGGACTTACCTTATTTTATTTATAGAAATATATCCAATTAAAGTGCGTAGGATTATTGTGGGATGGACATCATTCATTCACTTACCTTTAATTGAAGATATCAAATTTGAGTTTTGAATATTGAAAATAATCTTGTTAGAATAAGCTTCTTCCTTAAATAAAGGTTATCAATTATATGACGTGAAATATAAATTAGTCGAGGTTCAATATGAATACTGAAGAAAAAAAACTATATAGGAAAGTTATCAAGGTATGTACTTGGGAATTGGAGGGATAACATATAGTAATATTTTGATATACCTTGTTTCAAAAGGTTGTTCTTCATCTAGATAAGTTTATATATCTTGCTTTTTATCTATTCGGAATTAATTAATCAATTAATTTATATTCGTGATATATAAGGCCTAGGGATGTACTTCGATTTTTTCTTAATTTTTTTGTAGCTCGAATACAAATTAAGTATCTGATTAAGAATATAGGAATCGTCTCATCCATTATATTGTATCCCCCTATGAGTACTCTAATTTTAAGGGTTACTATGATTGTAGATCAACTTTCTCTGATGGAATAAAATACGTATAGTTTCCTTTTATTTTTTTACTGAGTATTTGATATTTGTATATTTATAAGTTCGATTATATATTCGAATTCATATCTTCCTAACAAAGGAATATTCATATCTAAATTTAAACCTTGATTAAAAATACAGAAATATTTATCACTCTACGACGACAATTTTGATTTTTGAATAATATACTATAGTCACACTTGGAATATTTAATTCCTTTCAAGCTTCCCTACAATATTAATGTTTTGTTAGGTATTGGTTATGTCTAGTTAGACAGAACATATGAATTCATTAATTAAACAATGCAACTTGATCTGAACAATATGGTATTATATGGTCAAAAATTTTTTATTTTTTTTTTCAATAGCATAACTACTTAAACTAATTTATGGACTTTGGAATATTTTACACTGTATGCCTTTGAAAACGATGCCTTCCTATTGAGCTTTTTCATCTTTCATCATTTAGTAACGCAGAATCAAGATTTAAATTTTAAGATATTAATCATAAGTATTATAACATAAATATTTGGGATAAGGGTCTGAAAAATACCCCAATTTTTGGTCGGATTTGTTGTTGCGATACTAAACTTTACTATTTAATTCCGTATTTTTTACCCCCTGAACTATTTAATAGTGTATTTTAAAGGTATATATGTGTCCACGTGGATACATTACTATTTATAATTTTACATTATTTTTTTATGTCTACGTGAGCAAATATATATGCTTAAAATACGGTATTAAATAGTCTAGGGAGGTAATAGGTCCTCATGAAAGTTTAGTATCGCAACAGCAAATCCGACCAAAGTTGAGATATTTTTCAGACCTTTATCCCTAAATATTTTATAAAACTGTCTATTATATTTTAAATAGTTGAAGTTCATGTGGAAATAATTGAACGTCGGTCATATGCATATACATGAATTTTAGTTATATGAAACATCATATACAATGTCTGATGCTGACATAAAGTGAATGCACGTGTAAAAAAAATTGAAAAGTTGATACAAGTTAAATAGTGGAATCAAGATCGGTATTCATGCACTTTGCCCGTTACTACTGAGTTCTAAATTTAATTTCTCTAACTATTTAATATATTACTTAAAATATATTTATATGATTTGGTCAAAACTATTGAATTCGGTTAAATTTATAATCGAAAAGTTATTTGTGCAATCATATTAGGTGCACACTATTGATTTAAACTGTCGCAAACAAAAGCATAATAAATATTTAACCTAATTAATGCTTAAATTATTATACTAATTATACTCATTAACAGAATCATCCCACAAGTTTGCATAAGCAATATAATAATTGCTATATCGCTTTCCATTGGTTTTGGTTAGCTAATCGTAAATAGTTGATAAGTTTTAAGTAGGGTTGTTCATGATTATAGTTAAAAAAACAAATCGAACCGCAATTCGAATCAAACCGATTGACAAAATCGATATTTGGTTGGGTTTGGATAGGTTTGGTTTTAAATTTTGAAAACCGATATTATTTGGTTTGGTTTTGGTTTTACTAAAAAAAATGCAAAAATAACCAAACCGAACCGATAAAATTAGATATATAAATTTTATAATTATTTATATATTATTCATAAATAAAATATAAATATTATTAAATTTTAATTAACTTAAGGGTTTAACTTTACAATTTCCTCAAGCTCAACACTTTAGTCCAACTATAACAATCCTAAGTCCAAGTCCATTAAAATCCATTTTAATTTTTACCTACCCTACTTCACATAAAATAGTCACACTTTCTCTTAATTGAAACACTTTGTTCGTGTAATGATAACTCTAGTATTGCTTAATTGCTTAATTGAACCGACAATAGTTTTCTTGTGGATTGTTCATGTGCTAGATGTTTGTGGCTATCGACGTAAGTACTCCCCAATAATATTACTATTACTTTCAAACCAGAAAAACTAAATCAAACCAAACCAAACCGACAATAACCAAGCCGGCAGTTATTTTTTTCGTTTGATTTGATTTGATTTTAGAAATTTAAAAAACTAACTAGATTGGTTTGATTTTGGTTTTAATCAATGATCCAAACCGAACCACGAACACCCTTAGTTTTAAGTATTGAAATATTATTTTTAAATTTTTAAATTGATTTTATAAATAAGTAGTTACGTGTAGAAACTGATAATGAAATTTATTGGCATGTTTAACAAAAAAAAATGATGATAAGCTATTTTTAATTAAAAGACTAAAATACCCTTAACTTTTAAATTATTACTTTTTTTCCAAATTTAATAGTATCTTTTTAAAGAAAAAGAAAAACGACAAATATAAAATGAATATGAAGTTAGAGTTTATTTTAGAAAATATATTTGAGAATTAAAAACAGTAATATTAATTAATGATAAAATAGTAAAAAACTTCACTAAAAAGTATTTATAAGCCCTAAAGTTATAAGTTAGAAGTGATCAACTTATAACTTTAGACTAATTTTAGATTATAAGAACTTGAGTTATATACCTTTCGAACGTTTATTAAACACGTAAAGAAGTCATAACATCAATTTGATCATCTTATAAGCATAACCAAATCCCATCGTAATCAAGTTTTCAAATGAAGTAAACTACGTTGGCTATTTAATACACGAATCAAGAGAGATAATAATGACATTAATTTATCACAATATTTATTATATATATCTAATATGTCTGGAGATAGTGGATATTTATTTTATTTATTAATACATGCATATAGTTGAAAAAATTCCACCCAAAAGAAAATGAAAATGAAATTAAACATCACAAAAGGCCAGGCCCAAGTAAAAAAGAGAGACATAATGGGCCCATTATTGAAAATGCTAAATGGGCACACTACGAAGCACAACTGTCTCAATTGTAAGCCCAGGCCCAAATGATAAAAGGACTCCCAAGTCCAGCCCATCTCCAGTAGTCTTCAGCCCATATCTAGCAGATTTTTTTCTTATCTCATCCAATATGAATAACACACATGCACTAGACAAGTTACCATATTCTCGAAGGATATTTCTCGTGGCCCGTAACTTATCGGGCTCTAGGCCCAATGTGCTTTCGACTTGGTCCACAATTGCATTACCTCCTGGATGAAGAATCCAAAACACCGAGTTCCAATCTGAAATGCCTAACGGTTCAAACGCCTTTATTAAGCAACTCTCCACATTTTTCGCGATGGTCGGTGGTACGTCCCTGGTACAATGAAATGTAAGGCCCATCTCGCGTAAGTGTAACGCGAGGTGGCAATCCCCGTTAGGTACAAACGTCTGGGCCGCCGAGACAATTTCGAAAATGGGCCTCTCCAGGCCCATTTTAGGGTCCGACCCGATTATAACCGCGACCGCACCGTCCCCAAATAATGCTTGTGCGATAAGGTTATCGGGATGAGCTTCGCTCGGCCCGCGAAACCCTATCGCTGAGCTCTCAGCACACACAACGAGTACCCTAGCACCCTTGTTGTTCTCAGCTAAGTCCTTGGCTAACCGGAGCATCGTGCCACCGGCAAAACAACCTTGTTGGTACATCATTAATCGTTGAACTGATGGGCTTAGGCCCAATAACTTTATTAATTGATAATCCGCACCAGGCATGTCCACACCACTTCTTGTACAAAAGACTAAATGGGTAATTTTTGATTTGGGCTGAGCCCATTCATCAATGGCCATAAGGGCAGCCTCTTTACCAAGTTTGGGTATTTCTGAGACCAAAATGTCTTGTCTGATATCAAGGGAAGGCCCATTATAAGAACACAAATTTGGATTTTTCTTTAATATTTCTTCTGTTAAAAGCATATGCCTTTTCCTAATCATTGTTCTGCTGCCTGAAATTATTTATGAAAAATAAAATCAGTTATTAAAAAAAAAAAATCAATTTCTCTAGAGGTAAATGGTAAAAAAAAAAAAGAAAAAAAAAGGGGAGAGTAGAGGGGATAATATCATTTTTGACCATTCAGTTATTGATATATTCTAATTTTGATCATTATAAGTACATTTAATTAAGCAGATTTAACGTTAATTCACTACGATGTATACCTTTTGTCTTTTGAGCTATAATTATCCTCAAACTATAGTGAAACATGCACAAATTTAACATAATACGCGAATAATTAAATAATTTATTTTGAATTTGTGTAACCATTGGGCTGCCTTCTCAATTAATGCCCATATTTTTATTTTTTTTATTTTCCTTTAATGAGTGGAAGAGGACAATATATATCCTTAATAATAAATCATATCAACTAGCTTGTTTATAATTTATATAATTGAATTATTGGAGCAAGTAATAAGTGACTGGCACTATATAATTGACCTTGAACAGAAACAAAGATATTATCTCCATTTGTAAAACGTTAATTTAATTAAAGTAGGTCTGTCATAACATATTTCTATATATATTTTATATTACGGAAACATTAATTTTTTCCTGTGAGCTTGTTTACATTATCGCCTTCAATCTCAAATAAAGGAGAAGGATTGACAATGTCCGAGGGTTGCTAAAGTCCAAGAACAGTAGTAAGATTTTGTACATCTTATCCTCTTCAAATTGTATTTGTGAAATTATATCGAATTTGTAGTTACTATTGTATATTTTGGAAATTAAACATCAATTATATTACACACCATACAATTTCACATTAAAAAAGTGAAATGCTTCCTAACGAAAATATCTCCATTTGTTTAGGTTTAATGACTAGATCATATACAAACACTTCATATAACAAATATTTATATTATGATTTTCTTAGCCCATATATAGTACTCCAAGATATATAATTTTAGCAGAGATAGTATTAGTATATATTTCATGCTACTGATCCTACAACAGGAAGCAATCATCACTGGGATTATATCATTTCAATTTTATGTGCTGTCATACAATTGCCAGACTTGACAAAAAAAATAAACAATGTTACACAAATAAAAATTATTCTTCAATTTCAAATTTTGTATAAATTCTCAATACTCATGTTACTTTGTTCAAGTTCATTTTAGTAAAAACATATTAGAAGTTCTGTATATATAACATATAATTTTCTGACATGACAAAATATTAAATCTAAATTAGATGTATTGACATGAGTAAGTTAATTTCATATAACTAATTAGTATCATTGTATCACATATATAGGTTATCTTTTTTAATTTCTTTCTATATAATTAATATAGGTTTTATCTCAAGCGACTTTCGCTTATTTTATATCCTCTATACATGCTACTTGAGAAAGAGGAAAAAAATTAGAACATAATAAAGAAATGTACAATTAAATCTAGCTCATCAGCAACTTTCAAAACTAGCTTAAAAGGTGATGATCTTAGACCATAGAATCCCCGACTCTTAATAGTCGATGTGAGAAACTCAACAAAAGTACAAGTTTGTATACAAGTGATCATTAAACCTAAACAAATGCTCCAAATGTATATAGGCATGTAGCGAATGAATTTTGTTTCTTAATGATATACATTGGTAGTGTGCAATAATTTTCTTATATCATCAGTCTAATTTAACATGTTTTAATCGATTACTTGCCTTTTTTTCTAAGTTACCAATCAATGTTACTCCACTCAATATACTTATCACTTACCTAGTTTAATTAAGTTATATATATTGACTGAGTAATAACTTTTTAGTCAAGTCTTTCAAAAGATATATATATCTACCTGCAAAACCTTCTTAAAATGTAAAGTTTATAATTATAAAAATAAGATATATTAGATGTTATTAAGTGACCTGATTATGCATATATCATCTTTTATATCGTTAGTGTATTAAACTTAAACGTTCAAAATTAAATAACAGCGATAAATATGCAATATTAAAGGGGAATATAACTTACAAATACGTCTAAATTTTTCTTTGAGGTCCACCAAATGCTCACTATTTGTTACCTTGAAATAATAATCAGGATAGGAGGTTTGATCAACCCAATGAAAAGGAGTTGCTGTCCCAATGGCTAAAATTTTTGCAGGACCCTCAGCTCTCTCATGAACCCTCCCAATCTTTTGACCATTTTCCAACTTCATTTTTTTCGAAATAAAAAGAGGTGAAATTCAGACAAAATCGATGAAACAGAAGAAATTCGAGTATTAGTTGAAATAAGAAATGGCAAAGGCAAAAGCCAAAGGGAAATGTTTTGGTTTGTGGTGGTGCATGGAATTGCTTGATTTCATTGCCTTTATATAGAATGAAAAAAATGAATGAAGTGTGATGTAATTAGCCCACCTCAATAATTTCAATACGTACAACAATAATATATTCACACTATATAAAAATTACTTTTATATAGCGTTAATAAACATATATTAATAAAAAGTGTTAAAACATTTATTAGGGTTAGTTAATTGTCATTGGATTCAATGTCTTTATAGGCTTTAGGAACATTTACAAAAAATGGTAATTGTCTCTAAAAAACATATTTAGCGTCAATTAAGCTATTGTTGTTAATGATCATTATTGGGATAGTGCCAAAGTGATCTCAATTCACATAAGTGGAATCTAAATAAAATGGAATGTACAATTATCTTATCGATCTCTATGTATTACATATGAAGTAGAGAAGTTGTTTCTGATTGATTTTTGTCTCGAGAATTATTTTTCAAAAACAAGTTTGACAAATACAAAATAAAAACTATAGGAAAAATATTATAGAAAAGAAAATTATTGTCACCTAAATAATATCATCAGGAAAAGGTAAATAATCTCTTTAAATTATGTGAAATTGAATAAAAATGTCATCAATTAATATTTTGATTCAAAAATGTCTTTATTGTTACTTAATGGGTTTAAAGGTCTTTTTTTAAATAAAAAAATATATTATTTTTTTTCCTTTTTAACGCATCCTTTTCCTAATAATTTTTTTATTAATAAATGTTTATCCTACTTCAATTTGGAAAAGGAAAAAATATTTCTTATTTTGTTATAGTTATTTTTTATTATTATATATCTAAGTGAAAATTAATGATGAGTTTACTATGATCTTATAAACATGACATATATTATCCATTAAAAAAGTACATTTAGTTATTCTATTTTAATTGAGATTAAGAAGAAGACGAAATTATTTTCTACATTTCATTGATTAAAGTCATTTTAAAAGAAAGAAAACAAGAATACAATTTATTAAAGGTAATATTTTTGTTAAGAACAAAATGTGTTAAAAATAAAAAATAAAAAAATAATAATTTATTTGAAAAAGAGGATTTTTGACCAATTTAGTAACAATAGTGGTATTTCTGGATCAAACTATTAACATCAAAGGCATTTTGGACCAAAATATTGATAATAAAGATATTTTTGGATCAAACTATAAACATAGAATATTTTTATTTATCTCACATAATTTAAGAACATTTTTGACATTTTCATAATTTCACTAATGTCCTGATCTTATAAACATGACATATATTATCCATTAAAAAAGTACATTTAGTTATTCTATTTTAATTGAGATTAAGAAGAAGACGAAATTATTATCTACATTTCATTGATTAAAGTCATTTTAAAAGAAAGAAAACAAGAATACAATTTATTAAAGGTAATATTTTTGTTAAGAACAAAATGTGTTAAAAATAAAAAATAAAAAAATAATAATTTATTTGAAAAAGAGGATTTTTGACCAATTTAGTAACAATAGTGGTATTTCTGGATCAAACTATTAACATCAAAGGCATTTTGGACCAAAATATTGATAATAAAGATATTTTTGGATCAAACTATAAACATAGAATATTTTTATTTATCTCACATAATTTAAGAACATTTTTGACATTTTCATAATTTCACTAATGTCC